TATATTTTAAGATTATTATAAATTATTATTTATAAATTAGAAATTATTAAAATTACTATCAAAAGAGTATTATAAAAAAAATTCTTTGTTAAAAATAATCGCATTTAAAGGAAAGAAAATTAATTTGTTTGAATAATTACCTTTTTTAGAATGATATTTTTCTATGCGCACTTCGAAAGGAACGTTAGAACAATGCATATAAAATTTTGCTAAGCAAAGCCTCAAAGTTTTCAAAGTCACCGTCATTCTTCCAGAGTCAGAAGAATGACAGAAGGATTAGCAGAGTCACACATAATAAAAGTTACGGCGATAATAAATTCTATTATTCAATCGGCCAAGGGAGACCATCGCGATCGTAATAAATCGAACAGTGTTTTACCCCAAGCAAACGTATAATAATGTAATGCAGGATTGAAGTTTCTTATCTTCCGTGTTGCTAGCTTCGCGAAGTTGCTAATGACAATAATGATTTGTGATAATGTCTGCCTCTACAACCGAAGAGAAAGAGAGGGAGATAAAGCGGGAAATGGAAACTCGCCGCAGCGTCGGGAATGAGAAGGAAGAACCGAAGGATCGTGAGAAGACTTGCAGCCGTCGACGCCATTATCCCCGTCGAGTCATAGGGCGCCGCGACGCCGCAATATCGACGTACCGCCCACCGCGTCTCTTGTGCTCTTCTTCTCTCATTGCCATATCTCTCTCTCTCTCTCTCTTTCTCTCTCTCCTCTCACTCGAATTCACCCTTGCTAAAATGCAAGAAGCACATTTTAGGGCACTATAAACCCTTCGGCGATTTCGGCCATCTTGCTGATACTCTGTTTCAACATAATGTTATCACAAGTATCTTTGAATCACGGATTACAGAAACTCGGACGAGATTTGATGACTTAAAAGTTCCACGCTGATTCGTCGCAAAAGACGGTATAGTTTGAATAAGTTTCTCAATATTGTGAAAAAAGATACAATAAAACTTTATCTCTTAAGAGAATAATAAGTCACAATAACGTCGAAATGGCGTTAAAATGAATTGTAAACGATTAAAAAGTAAAAAGGGAACGTAAGTGATTGAAACTTTTAATGATCATTTTGAGGATATTATGTTGATATTATGATAACTTATTGTTCTATTTGGATTTTCGTCTCGATTTAATCAAGCTATGTTTTGAAGATTATGTTTATCATGATTTCGATGTAATTCGCTAATTATGTAAATACCGTTTGTAGATGAAGTGCAAAGAATGGTTTACTAGAGCATTTAAAAATTTAATCAGATAATCTGAATATAATTTTATTGGACTATCAAAATAATTTTTTTTAAGATTTTAAAAATGTCAAAACTTTTTTTTGCAGCATTGTTATCAATACTTAGGCGTTCTATATAATTATTTTGATCCAATAAAATTATTTTCAGATTTATATTTCGCTTGAAATTTAAATTGATACTTTAATAAAACCGTTGTTTTTGTGCAGTCTTTGAGGAAAGAGGAAGATGAATTTAATCATTTTTGGAGGCCTGAATGCTAAACACAATAAAGTTTTCGGAACTACGTTTATTTGGCTTTGTTATTCACAGTGGCAATAATGATGCTCGCTATGCATCACCATTACGTCACGTTAATTATGTATAAACGGTGCTTATTCTATTATAATTCTATTTCAGTAATTTCTATTTACAAAGCACATTTCGAAAAACGTTCGTAAAAATTTCGCGTACACCGATTTGTATTATACAAAACGGCAAAAATTGAATCGACCATTACAAAATAAACATCAATCCAATCTCTTCTCAGAAATAAATCAAGGACAAATTATTTTCTTTCAAAGATATTTCATGGTTATCTTTTAAAATTCTATTGAAAATATTCAGACTGCAATATTACTTAGAAAATAAGATATTAACAAAATTAAGGAAAAATAAGTAATAAAAGAATCACGATTCCATTTTCAAATAAAAGAGAGATTTTTAATTGAAGCGAGTCTTGATGTTCAATAATATTTATATGCTATTTACAAGTACATTTTTTGCATAGTTTATAGAATTAAAGAATGTATTTTTCAAAATAGAATTCTTATATTTTAAAATAAGATTCTTCTTCTTTCTGCTTGATTTATTATTATTCACCTAATTTTCATTTAAAATTGTTTCCATTTTCTAAATAAAAAAATTTCTGTAACTCAAACGTGTGTATTTTGCAATGGTTAATTCGTTAATTTACCGTACCTTTCTGATGAAATCGCGAGAGCTGTATAAACTGATGACCATTTTGTCGTCCAAAAAATCGGAGACTTTCGATGATCATAAGGTACAAATAACGAGGATCAAGTGACTAGAAACATTTCCCTTAGACACTAAATAACATTCTAGATGAGAAATGTTCTCACAACCGTGCGATGTGTCCGATCCTCCGCTTATTCATAAAACGAAATCAAATTCGCTATCTACTCGAACGTCGTCCCATTTTTCGATGTTCGCGGATCTTCTGGTGTCCAAACCTTCGCGTACATCGTGCCGTTCGGCGAGATATCCGATTTTCTTGACCACGAGAGCGAGTGCGAGATGAATGGATTCCCACCGCTACCTGAAAGTTGTAATTAACAAAATTTGGAGAAAATAAAGTAATAAAAGAATCACGATTCCATTTTCAAATAAAAGAGAGATTTTTAATTGAAGCGAGTCTTGGTGTTCAATAATATTATACAAGTACATTTTTTGCATAGTTTATAGAATTAAAGAATGTATTTTTCAAAATAGAATTATTATATTTTAAAATAAGATTCTTCTTCTTTCTACTTGATTTATTATTATTCACCTAATTTTCATTTAAAATTGTTTCCATTTTCTAAATAAAAAAACGCGAAATCGGTAAACTAAGGTCGACACAAGGATTTTTTCTTAATCCGTAGAAATATGTTAAATTATTGTTTTCATACATACTCTCTAAATTTTTTTGGAGTGAAGTCTTACTCTAAAAAGTGAAAATTGAGTCTTAGAAAAGAGTTTTCTCAATTTTCAATCTTTAAGCATTAAATTTCGCAATATATATTGTTAGGCTTAAAGATTAAGATCAGTATTCATAGTTAGTTCTTATTTTAAAATCGTTTTAAGTAATATCTTAAGATGATAATGCGGTTCATAACATTTCAAGATTGAACTTAAGCTTTGAATATAAGAACTGATAGATCTTGAATATAAGATTATGAATACCGGCCTAAAAGTTACCAAGAAATTTATGAATGAATTTCATTGAAAAATCTTTTAATAAACTTTAATCCTTAGATAACCATATATTATGAAAATGAAAACCTAAAAGTGAGATTTCACTCTGTAGAGTAAAATTTACTCTAAAAATTTTAGAGAATAGTAAAAAATAATTTCTATTTCTTGTAAAATATTATGTCAAATGTTTAACACATTCAAATGTTAATTTAATGTAATATGTTATTTGAATAATTTAAATATTTTGTATTAAATTGATATTCGATATTTCTTAATGTCAAAATAACTAAATTGATAAAAGAACAAATAATATAAAAATAATATATTTTGAAATATAAATTTTAAGATAAATGAATAAAATAAAATATATGTTAATTTAATCATAAGTGTTCATTTCATCAAAAAATTTGTTTCCACAAATTGTGTATAAATTGTATTAGTGTTACATTTTTTGTGTTAACTTTCTGACATAATTTTTTTTGTTATTTGTTATTTTCTAATAAATTCATCTTATATTAAATTAATGCAAAAATTTAAGTGGATCATATAGAATACATAAAATGTATTAAATTTAATACAAATTTTGCACTGTGTACAATAAATTGTCTCACAATTGTTTTTGTAATTTAAAAATATCGAAAATTAAATAGCTTGCGCGAAAGCGGCATGTAAATAAACAGAACGATTACGTGCGATTCCCAAAATTTTGATAATCTCTCAATTATCTCCAGATAGTAAATTCACCTCGAAACACCATATATCTGACGGACACCTGTCCTGGAATAAAGGGTAGATGGGTAATTATGATAAATCGTTCTATGATTTCGCACGGGGTGGAAACAGGTCGGTCCGATATTAATACATTGTGCACATAATATCGAAATAACGTGGAATATAACAGTATACAATTCTGCATTATCAAAACTGAATATCGCAGCAGTATAATGAAAATCGAATCATGGATTCAGCAAAATTTTAGCAAGATCCGATGTTGTAAACTAAATATAAACGTATCACGTTTCACATTGAAACCATATTAATACGCTATTGTGAACTTCAAATATAACATGCATCATGTAAAATGCAAGCAGTTTTTGATGTTGGAATTTTATTTCAATTAATATACAACTCGATTTTTCTTTCATCGACTCGTTGGAAATATATTTCAGAAAAGCTAACAACGTTTCAGCTTTTATTTATAACATTTTAATTTTGAATAACTTTATTTCTGATTTATTAACATATATTTAATGCTAAAAATTGAGAAATATAAAAAAAATGAATTTACTAATTTTTTTGTGAAAAGCTTGATGTCAGCAATTTCATTAATCTTTTCATAAACTTCTATAAGTTGATAAGAGTAGCTTAAAGATACACAAGTTGATAAGTAGAATACCCATAATATCATAAAAAAATTATTAATTTTATAGTTATGTTTTTTTATATTATAGTATATTATGTACAAGTTAAATTTATATTAATTAGATATTTTTATGAAATAGATTCTATTTAATAAAGGAATATAGAAATAATGAACTTTAAGATTTGATGGATATCTGGGCAATACTTTTTATTTTCCATTTCTAGATAAATTTGAAAAATTTGTGTTAATTTTAACATATTTTACGTGTCCCAAGTAGTCCAATAAAATTTTTGTGTTAATTTAATATAAGATAGATGTAAACAGATATTACGTATAAAAATTAACACAAAAAAATGTAACATTGATACAATTTGTAAGCAAATTGTAGAAGCATATTTTTTAAATACAATTAACATTTATAATATATTAAATTAATATATCTTATTCATTTATATTAGAATTTATATTTTGAAATTTCATTTCAATTTTTCATTATTTTTGTTATCTGCTCAATTACTCGTAGGTTATATTATTCTCACACTAAGAAATCAATTTTGAATATCAATTTAACAAGAAATATTTAAATAACAATCGTACTGTTAAATTAACATTCGAATATATTAAAAATTTAACACAAAATTTTAATAAGGACTAAAATCGTTTCCAACACAAATATAAAATGTTTCTTATTATATAGAATGTTGTGGCCATACATGCTTATCCACTTAAAGATTAATAATTTATTAAATGAAATTTTTCATAAATAAATTTTGAATAAAAATTTTCTTCCTTTTAGCATCGAATATATATATGTAGAAGTATTAATAAATTAATTATCGCGTTGCATTAATCGAGAACTGTCCATAGATATATATATAATTAAAATTGGCCTCACCACGGACTATGACCTTCTTAGATTCATCTCGACTGGAACACCTCGAGAGACCGCTATTGCCCGTCAAGGGGTCGTTACCCTTGTCCGCCCTAACGAGCTCGTTGAGGAAGTTTATGTAACCGATTGCTAACTTCAGCGTATCGACCTTTGACAGTCTCTTCTCGTACGGCAAGGTCGGTATATGAGCCCTCAAGCCCTCGAAGGCATCGTTTATGTTCTGCATTCGTCTTCGTTCTCTCATGTTCGCCGCCTGCCGTTGCTGAACCTGGACTTGTCTCGGACATTTTCCCGATGGTCCGCCGCGCCGGTTACTCCGACTTCGTCTACGAATAAAAGTGACAAACCGGTTGCTATATGAATTTATAAAACGATCAGAAATTTTTTATTTCATTCATAATTCGATATTAAAATACTTTAACATTTACTCATTTATGAAATATCAACTTTGAATATTTTGATACTTGAAATCATTTTTTTAGAAAATTAATAACAAATCTTAATTTTAAGTCAAAGGACTTCTAATTATATAAAAAATAGACCTTAGTGAATTAATATTTTCACATATAATTTAGCTTATAATGCAATAAACAAAAGATGTCATAGACATAAGGCTTAATAATAAATATTTTTTTAGTTATAATGCATCAAAAGTACTGTGAATACATATTTTACACAATTCAAAAATTATTCGTTGTTGAACTTTGTTCTACAACAGTTTTTTGTTTATTATAAATAAGTTAGTTATAAGCTACACACACATACACATACACATTATATGTGAAAACTAACTTATTTTACCCAATTTTCCGTAATAATCAGTACGAAATCCTTTAAAGATTTAGCAATTTCAAGATTCAAAGAAGAAAGAACAGCTTTAAATTTTTTATAAGATCGAAAAAGAAAAAGGAATCTGAGAACCCAAAAGGGTGTCTTCCATTTAATCACACAAAAAGTCGACATAAATATCATTCTATCTTTCTTTGCACGAGTAACAAAAACATAACGATACTTTTGTCGATTTGTGTCACTGAATGAAAGGCACCTGAAGTGAAGCAAACACATTTTCTGCATGGTACTGTGACTCGATATTTGAATTGGAAAACAAGGGGAAATCAGAAGAAAGCAAGCACTTTTGGAGTACTCACTCTCTCGCGTGATTCTCCTGATCGCTGCTGTAAACGCTCTCGTTGTCACTGCTGTTCTCGTCGTAGAGATAGTGCTCGCTACCGCTGGTGCTACCGGTGCTACCGGATGGATGATGGGACGACGGGATCTGCGACGGGATCACCGCCGGAAGCGTCGCCGTTGTAGGTACCCCGCAATGCGGCGGCAATGTCGGGATTGCTGGATTACCCAGGAAGCTGTGCGCTTCATACATATACTGCCGGTTCATCATATCTCGTTCGAGATTGTCAATCGAATACATGATGACGGTGTTTAATGTCCAATTCGCCAATAATCAGATTTAATAATTAAGCGTCTCACAAATATTAATTATAATATACTTTCCTTAATTTAGCCCCTTAATTTAGGTCTCTTATCGGATCTGAAGATCGCTCACTAATTAACGAAAAATACGACTAGATTGTATGACTAGACGTAGAACGACGAGACCGTCGTGTAACTCACGCCATTTAATTCTTCGCTCTAGACACTTTGAATGATAATCGTATTTAATTATTGGACGAGTTTAGCAACTAAATTTCAAATCCTCGTGTCGAACGATTTCATAGTTTGCCGGAATTTCTGATCGTACCTGCGCACCCTCGAACACGTCTCGAGGATTGAAAGATACGATCGACACGTGCCAGCCAGGCGCGTGCAGGATAATATTTCTAAACAGCGGCACGTGTCTTGGCGAACTCCGGGCACGTGTCGAGATTTGTCCAAACACTTGTTAACACTTGGTACTCACGCCTCGAGATGCTTCAGTTCGTGTCCGACAATCAAGCTACTTACGACATTACGATTTACTACTTACGAACATCATCCCGATGATCTCTTATATTCGCGATGCATGTCTGTGAGAATAACATCTTATTATATATGTTTTTATCCTTTCTTGACTATAAAACCTTCTTATATTTCACGCGGGATTTTAATTCGCTTTCTTGCAGTTGCAAAAGAATGATTGATAGAAATCGGAACATTAATTATGTTGGGATTTAATTAGTTACATTGATTTATAATCTTCTCCGTCATTCCGTGTTGTTGCTGACGTTACACTGCTGATGGTTTTATTATATTTAACGCATAGTTTCGTTTATTATCCCGTTGCGAGAAATTTTCAAAGAGCTTTTGTCGGAAAATATTGTAATTATACGTGAACTCTTTTGCTTTATATATTTCTTCGTTGTTTATTAATTAAAAATGGCATTCTAAATTACAGTCTTTTCGCAACCATTAACGGTTTTTTCAGTGAAGACATACATCTGATTTTAAATATTACGATTATATTTGGTCATCTTCTTATCATAGAGGTTTTATTTTTTTCTGAAATATTTTTAATACGTCATCCTTCAGATTGCACTTTTCGCAATTGCATTGATGTTTCAATTGTCTTCCCTCAGATTTATTTATTTATTATGCTTTATTTATTATGCTTGTCCATGATCATTCACGTCTAATTCTTCCAAAAAAATACAGAGATCACTAAGAAAATTCTCACAAGTCTTAAATCCTTAAAGAAAGTTCCCTAATTGCACTTTGCAATTACATTAATGCCTCAAATATTTACGGATTGCTGTCATCACTATTGTCTTTGAATTTCTATAAAAAACGCAGCGCTAATGTAATTTAAGATATTTTTCTCTCAAATCTCCCTTTCAATTTCCTTGTTGTTATTTAGTTTCGTATTCCCACTGACAACTTAGGCATTTCCTCATAAATTTACTCGTCACAAAAAACATCGCTCGTTCCACGATTTTCCGCAGAATTCACCACCGCGTGACTTCGGGAATATCCCTTAATTATGCTCTTCCAGATGTTTGCCAATTTCGCGCCCGAAAACTGGAATCTTCCGCAGTTTCCTGTCGACCTGCAGACCCTACCGTGCTACCGATCGTTCAGGTGGTCTCTCGCTGGACTAAAATCGAAAAGCGATGAGTAGCAAAGCGGAAGCCATGCCAGGGTTGAAAGCCCAGCTACGACCCCATTCGTCGAGCGCGCGGCTGGCAGAGCCTGCCTACCCCTTGGTTGCTGGGGTAGCGGTGCCGCCTCTTCATCGATCTGATAAGGAACTGCCGTTGTTCTCGTTCCTAGGAACAGCGTCCCGGAACGCTGCCGGGAGAACTGCAACCGATCGGAACGTATATACTTTCTTGAACATAATAAGCTAATTATAAAGAAGTTCGCGCGATTCGTGAAAATATTTAAAAATGGATTGAATTTGAAGGGACGAACTGGAATTTTAGTGAAATCGGATTGAAAGCAGTTAAATTATAGTGGTTTGTTTTATTTATACCGAGGAAATGTTCATCTGAAATTGTGTAAGATTAAATATACTTCATTAAACTGCCGAAATATACATTTAATTGAGTTATTAAAATATTTAGATTAAAATAAGCGTATGCAATAATTAGATTCTTCAATTAAGATATGCGAAATCGAGATTAATTGAAGGATTTTTGAAAACGTAACAATGATAATTTCTCTGTACATAGATAATATATTATTCATATAAATATTTATTATGATTGCAAAATCAGATATAAATAATGTACACTGAAAAATATCTGGTTGAAAATGGACGAACCAGAAGATTTTAATTATGTTAATTAGAATTTTGATTATCTTAACTATAATTTTAATAGATTTGGACAGAAAATTTTAATTCATTCATTTTCAATCAAAATTCCAATCCAACTAGATATTTTTGTTAGTAATACAAAGCATTACAAATTTTTTTTCTGGTTTGTCTCTCTATAATTAACACAGAAAGCGTCACCTAATTATACAAAATATATATAAGATCCAGGTTATTGGACTTTAAATTATACATATATATTTTGTAAGTAAATTTACCAATCCTTTTACTTAAACATTAGAATATTCTTTTAAATATTTTATTCTAGCTTGTTAGAGGTGCTAGTAGAATGTTTCATTCCAAAGTTGTTAACGACTATCTATCGAAACTATTATATAAAAACCGCTGCCCTTACGTTTCGACATCTTCGCGAAAGTTTTCATCGTTAGATATTCGTTAGATATTCGTTATTTGCGAACTTAGCTAACTATAGGTTTTGTTCGTCGAACTTACAGAATTTTCAAGTATCTACTGTAGCGACTTCATGAATTCGTAATTGTCCGACGGACGAGAACGAAAGTCCATCGCAGTGAAGAAAGCCGGTTATAAACTAGCGAGCAAGAGAAACTTATGATTTCAAAAAAATAGTCAGTGTATTAGTTACGCTGCTTTCACACTTGTATGTCTATTATCTATACATACTCATATTTAATTTATAGGATAAAGCGGGATAATTTGGATAGGTTAACAAAAATTTTCAAATTGTATGAAAGATTGAGTTCGCATAGTGTATTCAATTAAACATACAAAATATCAAGTGCAATATAATTATATGTTTTGTATATTTGATTGAATACATTGTACGGCCTCAATCTTTCATACAATAAATTTGAAAACTTCTGTTATCATATTCAAATTATCTCACTTTATCTTATAAAACGATAATAGATAATACATATTATATACAGATAAATAAATAGAAAGAATATGTTATAATGTAAGTAATATGCAAATAAATATAAAAATATATACAGGATGCGTCACCAAAATCCGGACAAATTTCAATTTCAATTTCCAGCTATTGTACCTCCGTCAAAGGTTGTTGTTGGCATCCGAGAAAGTCTGATGCTTTTAGTAAACAGTCATTACTTCAAAATGACAGCGATGTTGAAACGAAGTGCGGCTGCAGAAGCTGCTATAATCGAAGAGCCGCGATTATCCAAGACCTTCACGCTGGACACTCAGCAACGGAAATAATTCAGTTTTTTGGATACCCGAGATCAACCGTTTATGACATTGTGGCAAAATATATAGCTTCAGAACAGTCTAACGAAGGTTCCAGTATGCCAGCGAGGAAGAGTCACTCGAAAAAAATGCACCGCAGTCGAAAGGGCTCAAGCGCTGATTTCGGATGACCCAGGGTAATCATTGCAAAAATTAGAATTATCGATAGTTAGTGTAAGCGTACCAACAATGCGTCGAATTGACCTTCGATACAAATCCTACACACTAAAGATACTACAAATGCTCTCTGAGACTGACAAGACAAAGCGAGTTGCTTGCTGCAATCTGCTATTGTTGTTATATGTCCTTGAAAAACGAAGCGTCGGGACATATCAGATTCTTTTTTAAAAAAATTTTTACTGATATTAAAATCAATCGGATTATTGACTCGCTCACGATGTCAAGACATCGTGATGTTCCAGACATTGGATGTTATCACAATGAAATTTCTAGCCAATGTTCACGTCCTAGATATTGTGTCCAGTGAGGGTGATGTCATGCCATCGTAGTTCTTCAAAAAAAGGAAAAGTGTCACAAAAGAAGTGTATGTACACGTTCTGATGAGTGTAGCTGTGGATGGAAACTGTAGCGTCCGGAAAGCCATATGTTTTTCAGCAGGACGGTGCACAGGAACCATTTGATTCAAAACTGGCTCTCAAATAACGTCAATATGTTTTGATCCAAGGAATTCTGATCTCTTAACAGCCCAGATTTGAATCTCTTGGACTACTACGTATGAAGAATAGTTAAAAGAATCACCAACAAGTCCCAGCATCCCAATGTCATTAGGGACCTCTATTAAGGCAGCATTCGCCGGCATGAACAGCGCTATGTTACACACATGTAGTTACACACATTATAATATATTATTATAATTATGTACAATTGCGATATACAAAATATTTGTTTTATTTTCATGCAATTCTTTACTTTCTCTTCCACTCTCTCATTAATTCGCTTTTGCACTCAAGTTGCTCTCTCTCTCTCTCTCTCTCTCTCTCTCTCTCTCTCTCTCTCTCTCTCTCTCTCTCTCTCTTTCTCGAAATTATTGCAACAACAAAAAACACATTGTCGAATCACAGGTAAGCTCATAATAAAAAAGAAATTGGTCGCACGTGCAAGTCACGTGCGGCCGCAATGTCGCGACAAAGGGTTGCGTTCCAGGTTAACCACTTCGGCGACATTTGGCCCTGTCGAGTAACCTGTAATTATGCGTACCATAACAAGTACGATCTGATTTCTCTAACACATTATTAAGCGTCAGATAATAATTTAATAATGCACTGCGGCTCGCAATATATTTGCCGGATGCACGCTCCATTTTCTAACTCGGCAATATTTACTGTAATTTTATATAAAAGATATGTGTAGGGAATAAAAAGGAAGTGTCACCTGTT